GGGTCTCCCTGTAATAGAGAAAGGGTTAAATGACACAGGGGGTCTCCCTGTAATAGAGAAAGGGTTAAATGACACAGGGGGGTCTCCCTGTAATAGAGAAAGGGTTAAATGACATGGGGGGGTGTCTCCCTGTAATAGAGAAAGGGTTAAATAACACAGGGGGGACTCCCTGTAATAGAGAAAGGGTTAAATGACACAGGGGGGTCTCCCTGTAATAGAGAAAGGGTTAAATGACACAGGGGGGTCTCCCTGTAATAGAGAAAGGGTTAAATGACACAGGGGATGTCTCCCTGTAATAGAGAATGGGTTAAATGATACAGGGGGTGTCTCCCTGTAATAGGGAGAGGGTTAAATGACACAGGGGGTGTCTCTCTGTAATAGAGAAAGGGTTAAATGACACAGGGGGTGTCTCCCTGTAATAGAGAGAGGGTTAAATGACACGGGGGGTGTCTCCCTGTAATAGAGAAAGGGTTAAATGACACAGGGGGTGTCTCCCTGTAATAGAGAAAGGGTTGAATGACACAGGGGGGTCTCCCTGTAATTGATAAAGGGTTAAATAACACAGGGGGGTCTCCCTGTAATAGAGAAAGGGTTAAATAACACAGGGAAATGTCTCCCTGTAATAGAGAAAGGGTTGAATGACACAGGGGAGGTCTCCCTGTAATAGAGAAAGGGTTAAATGACACAGGGGGTGTCTCCCTGTAATAGAGAAAGGGTTAAATGACACAGGGAAATGTCTCCCTGTAATAGAGAAAGGGTTGAATGACACAGGGGAGGTCTCCCTGTAATAGAGAAAGGGTTAAATGACACAGGTGGTGTCTCCGTGTAATAGAGAAAGGGTTAAATGACACAGGGGGTGTCTCCCTGTAATAGAGAAAGGGTTAAATGGCACAGGGGGTGTCTCCCTATAATAGAGAAAGGGTTAAATGACACAGGGGGGTCTCCCTGTAATAGAGAAAGGGTTGAATGACACAGGGGGGTCTCCCTGTAATAGAGAAAGGGTTAAATGACACAGGGGATGTCTCCCTGTAATAGAGAGAGGGTTAAATGACACAGGGGGTCTCCCTGTAATAGAGAAAGGGTTAAATGACACAGGGGGTGTCTCCCTGTAATAGAGAGAGGGTTAAATGACACAGGGGGTGTCTCCCTATAATAGAGAAAGGGTTAAATGACACAGGGGGGTCTCCCTGTAATAGAGAAAGGGTTAAATGACACAAGGGGGTCTCCCTGTAATAGAGAAAGGGTTAAATAACACAGGGGGGTCTCCCTGTAATAGAGAAAGGGTTAAATGACACAGGGGGGTGTCTCCCTGTAATAGAGAAAGGGTTAAATGACCCAGGGGGTGTCTCCCTGTAATAGAGAAAGGGTTAAATGACACAGGGGGGTCTCCCTGTAATAGAAAAAGGGTTAAATGACACAGGGGGTCTCTTTGTAATAGAGAAAGGGTTAAATGACACAGGGGGGTCTCTTTGTAATAGAGAAAGGGTTAAATAAATGACACAGGGGGTGTCTCCCTGTAATAGAGAAAGGGTTAAATGGCACAGGGGGTGTCTCCCTATAATAGAGAAAGGGTTAAATGACACAGGGGGGTCTCCCTGTAATAGAGAAAGGGTTGAATGACACAGGGGGGTCTCCCTGTAATAGAGAAAGGGTTAAATGACACAGGGGATGTCTCCCTGTAATAGAGAGAGGGTTAAATGACACAGGGGGTCTCCCTGTAATAGAGAAAGGGTTAAATGACACAGGGGGTGTCTCCCTGTAATAGAGAGAGGGTTAAATGACACAGGGGGTGTCTCCCTATAATAGAGAAAGGGTTAAATGACACAGGGGGGTCTCCCTGTAATAGAGAAAGGGTTAAATGACACAGGGGGTCTCCCTGTAATAGAGAAAGGGTTAAATGACACAGGGGGTCTCCTGTAATAGAGAAAGGGTTAAATGACACAGGGGTCTCGCTGTAATAGAGAAAAGGGTTAAACAATAGGGGCTCCCTGTAATAGAGAAAGGAGCAAATGACACAGGGTTCCTGTAATAGAGAAAGGGTTAAATGACACAGGGGTCTCCTGCACAGAGAAAGGGTTAAATGACACATGGGGGTCTCTGTAATAGAGAAAAGGGTTAAATAACACGGGGCCCCTGTAATAGAGAAAAGGGTTAAATGACACAGGGGTCTCCTGTGAAGAAAGGGTTAAATGACACAGGGGCTCCCATGAAAGAAAGGAGCACGACACAAGTGGCCCCACAGAGAAAAGGGTTAACAACACAGGGGACTCCTGTAATAGAGAAAGGGCTAAATGACACAGGGCCCCTGCACAGAGAAAGGGTTAAATGACACAGGGGGGTCTCCCTGTAATAGAGAAAGGGTTAAATGACACAGGGGATGTCTCCCTGTAATAGAGAATGGGTTAAATGATACAGGGGGTGTCTCCCTGTAATAGGGAGAGGGTTAAATGACACAGGGGGTGTCTCTCTGTAATAGAGAAAGGGTTAAATGACACAGGGGGTGTCTCCCTGTAATAGAGAGAGGGTTAAATGACACGGGGGGTGTCTCCCTGTAATAGAGAAAGGGTTAAATGACACAGGGGGTGTCTCCCTGTAATAGAGAAAGGGTTGAATGACACAGGGGGGTCTCCCTGTAATTGATAAAGGGTTAAATAACACAGGGGGGTCTCCCTGTAATAGAGAAAGGGTTAAATAACACAGGGAAATGTCTCCCTGTAATAGAGAAAGGGTTGAATGACACAGGGGAGGTCTCCCTGTAATAGAGAAAGGGTTAAATGACACAGGGGGTGTCTCCCTGTAATAGAGAAAGGGTTAAATGACACAGGGGGTGTCTCCCTGTCCTAGAGAGAGGGTGTTAAATGACACAGGGTTGTCTCCGTGTAATAGAGAAAGGGTTAAATGACACAGGGGGTGTCTCCCTGTCCTAGAGAGAGGGTGTTAAATGACACAGGGGATGTCTGCCTGTAATAGAGAATGGGTTAAATGACACAGGGGGTGTCTCCCTGTAATAGGGAGAGGGTTAAATGACACAGGGGGTGTCTCTCTGTTATAGAGAAAGGGTTAAATGACACAGGGGGGTCTCCCTGTAATAGAGAAAGGGTTAAATGACACAGGGGATGTCTCCCTGTAATAGAGAATGGGTTAAATGATACAGGGGGTGTCTCCCTGTAATAGGGAGAGGGTTAAATGACACAGGGGGTGTCTCTCTGTAATAGAGAAAGGGTTAAATGACACAGGGGGTGTCTCCCTGCACAGGTGGTTAACATCACAGGGTGCCCCTGCACAGAGAAAGGGTTAATGACACAGGGCAAGTCTCCCTGTAATAGAGAAAGGGCGACGACACAGGCCCCTGTAATTGATGTATGGTTAAATAACACAGGGGGGTCTCCCTGTAATAGAGAAAGGGTTAAATAACACAGGGAAATGTCTCCCTGTAATAGAGAAAGGGTTGAATGACACAGGGGAGGTCTCCCTGTAATAGAGAAAGGGTTAAATGACACAGGGGGTGTCTCCCTGTAATAGAGAAAGGGTTAAATGACACAGGGGGTGTCTCCCTGTCCTAGAGAGAGGGTGTTAAATGACACAGGGTTGTCTCCGTGTAATAGAGAAAGGGTTAAATGACACAGGGGGTGTCTCCCTGTCCTAGAGAGAGGGTGTTAAATGACACAGGGGATGTCTGCCTGTAATAGAGAATGGGTTAAATGACACAGGGGGTGTCTCCCTGTAATAGGGAGAGGGTTAAATGACACAGGGGGTGTCTCTCTGTTATAGAGAAAGGGTTAAATGACACAGGGGGTGTCTCGCTGTAATAGAGAGAGGGTTAAATGACACAGGGGGTGTCTCCCTATAATAGAGAAAGGGTTAAATGACACAGGGGGGTCTCCCTGTAATAGAGAAAGGGTTGAATGACACAGGGGGGGTCTCCCTGTAATAGAGAAAGGGTTAAATGACACAGGGGATGTCTCCCTGTAATAGAGAGAGGGTTAAATGACACAGGGGGTCTCCCTGTAATAGAGAAAGGGTTAAATGACACAGGGGGTGTCTCCCTGTAATAGAGAGAGGGTTAAATGACACAGGGGGTGTCTCCCTATAATAGAGAAAGGGTTAAATGACACAGGGGGGTCTCCCTGTAATAGAGAAAGGGTTAAATGACACAGGGGGTCTCCCTGTAATAGAGAAAGGGTTAAATGACACAGGGAGTGTCTCCCTGTAATAGAGAAAGGGTTAAATGACACAGGGGTGTCTCCCTGTAATAGAGGAACGGTTAAATGACACAGGGGGGTCTCCCTGTAATAGAGAAAGGGTTAAATGACACAGGGGGGTCTCCCTGTAATAGAGAAAGGGTTAAATGACACAGGGGGTGCCTAGGAACATAAAGGCTCTTAAACACATCACGTTCACTTCTACTGCATGTGTTTTACATATGTGGTTTTCTTCCGTTCATTTTCTCTCTCTTTTTTTTTTTTTTTAAATCTCTTGCTCTACTCACTTCTGGGGACCTGCGAGTCCCATATGTACAACTGTCCTTCCTCTTTGTACTTTTGTTTATGAAAACCTCAATAAAAAGAGATTAAATGACACAGGGGTGTCTCCCCTGTAATAGAGAGAAAGGGTTAAATGACACAGGGAGGGTGGTCTCCTGTACTAGAGAAAGGGTTAACCATAATAGGGGTCTCCCGTAATATAGAAAGGGTTAAATTATCACAGGGGAGGGTGGGTCTCCCGTACTCAGAGAAAGGGTTAACACACAGGGGGTCTCCTGCATGAGAAATGACATGGGGGTCTCCCTGTAATAGAGAAAGGGTTAAATGACACAGGGGAATGTCTCCCTGTAATAGAGAAAGGGTTAAATGACACAGGGGGATGTCTCCCTGTAATAGAGAAAGGGTTAAATGACACAGGGGAAGGTTGGGTCTCCCTGTAATAGAGAAAGGGTTAAATGACACAGGGGATGTCTCCCTGTAATAGAGAATGGGTTAAATAACACAGAGTTTATGTCCCTATAATATTAAATGACACTCTGGTCTCGGTTTAATAAGTAATAATAATAGAATGTTTTTTCTAATAGTATTAGATCATTTGCAAATCTTATTAAATCCAGGCCTATTTTTTTTTCCTCTCTTTGTTTTTAAACTGCTATATTTCACAGAGAATCAGCCTTCTATTTTTCTATGAAACAGTAGGGTTTCAACATCACAGTTATAGTGGATCTGTGGGAACGAAAGGGTTAAGTGTAATAGAAATATTGTCAATATCGCCATTTATACACCAGCATATTCTGCTGAATTTCAAGAGTCTCTCAGGTATGAAATGGGTTAAATGTTATTGTGGGGGCGTGGCTTAAAGGGACATTCTAACCACCATAACAACCACATATTCCTGTAGTAGCTTTGGTGCATAGATGCTGTTACTTTTTACATTGCTGATTCTAAGAAATAAGAATGTTACTATTTAGTTAAAACTACTGTGATGGGATTCCAGCATGGTTAAAATTTAGTAGGCCAAAATCTCCATGTGGCATATGTGTATGTTGTGTCAGTTGGTTAGCTACATGTAGCTAGGATACTGTCATCAGTGTACTGAGCATGTGCAGGAATGCAGGAACTGAAATTGCACTTATTTCCTTTGTCTTGGATGGGCCATGTGGTTTGACTAGATGTACAAGTCTATATTCTGCTCATTGATTGGTTAAAGGTATATGTGGGTGTAGCTATTAATGGGAGGAGTTATGTGCCTATATAGGGAGCCTGCACTATTGTTCAGGGCTCAGAACTTGCTGTATTTTTGGTGACATTAGTCCCTCTGAGTCCCGACCGGTGATCCAATAAAGAATCTCTTCCTTCCTGAAGAAACCTGTGTCCATCCCTCTGTGCTTTGCTTCCGTCAGTTTCTCCGGTATCATTTGGTGCGTTGGCCGGGAAGCTCATCGTTCAACGGTAGCTGAGAGGCGTGAGACGGTCTATCTTTGCCCACGTTCTCTACGGCTGCACCCCTGAACTTCTGCGTGGACCTCCCTTCGTCTCGGCGCCACTGGTCTGTTGTCCAGGAGATCATCGGCCTCTACGTAAGAAGTGCTGGGGTGTCCCCGTCGATGAGTGTGAACCTAGGTTCAGGAACGAGGAGGTAAGACAACTGCTGTTTTAGACGGCAGACCCACTAGGGGTATACCGATTGTGCGGTAGGCCCAAAAGGGGTTTAAATCTGTGTATGGAATCTGCCCTCTCTGTCGGAGGGAAGGAGCGAAGGCGCACCGCTCGATCGAACGCTCTTTAGTAAGACCGTTTGATCTGGTTAGTCAGGCGGGGTCCTGTGTAAATAGCCCTAGCCGGACACCGGTGTCTTGTCTAGACTAGCGTTCTAGGGTGTATATTACGTTCGCTAGGTCGGAGGGACCGAGAGACTAAGCGGCGCCTGTGTAAATTCGGTTCGCTAGCTCTCAACCTATCTTGGCTAAGTGGGAAGGCGTGTAAATTTGGAACCCACTAGACTTTTGATAGAGTAAATAGACTAGAAGGGCAATTTCCGCCCTCTAGTTCGCTATATGTGGTGCTTGGGCAGTGTGGCTAACCAAAACGGGTTTATATAGTTTTAGGTAGTCTATTCAAGGTACTGGCCAATAGTTTAGTTGGGATTATTGTAAATGTTGTTAAATATATTGTAGTTGGTGAATTGGTTAACTTGTATGTCCTACTAGAAAGTTAGAGCTCTGCTGTCTAGTGGGAGTGTAAATTGTGTGTATAACTGTAAAATAGCACACGGTACCATAACTACTGACATGTACCATAACCACTGACATTGTGTAAAATTACTAACAATTGCTGTTTTATGTTATATGTATAATACCATAACTGTTACTAACTGATCTGTGACTTTAAAACTGTATTATAACCACTTACTAACTGTACCATAACCACTGACTGTAAAGATGAGGTTACTAGAATGTGATATAGTTGGTTAGTCAAAAGTTGATTTATAGTACAGATAATTGTAGAGATGAAATTTGTTGAAATGTTATGTGATCGGTTAGTTTATATGGATTAATAGCGTGGATAGTTGCATGGTTTGAATAATAGTTACATTGATAAGTGTATAGTCTTTGGTGGGTTTTTGATTTAATTTCGTGTGTGCGACGTCGTGATATTGTTGAGCATGTGAGGATCCTGTGTGTGTGTTTGGGCCTAGTGTCTGCGCAATGTGTTGCTGGTGATAAGGAGATTGGTGTGACTGTTGAAACTGTGTGTATATTTGTACAGCTTTTTGAATCAGACGTTCTGTTGAAATAATCTGATTCACTTGGCTGTTAGTCTTTTGTCTTGTATGTTTAAAAAAAAAGTAGGGAGTAGCTTGTCCTGGTGGCCGCATGGCCTCCATGTAGCAGTCTTCACTTAAATTTAGTGCAGGGTGTACATGTGGCTGTAACTAGTAGGCTGGAATTCTATGATCAGTTTCTATATATTGACTGTTGAAAAATTGCCTTGGTGAATTAAACTGTGTCATATGGGAAACAATGTAGCCATATGGTGGTCAGAACTAAGGACTTAATTACAACTGCTTTGGACATCCCCCCCCCCCCCCCCGGCATCTGATTACCAACCCCCCAAACATCCTCCAGAGCCAGATTAGCCACGCCCATTTCTGGCTGGTATAATCAGTATTTGCACTCCCCCTGCTCTACTGTCCCCGCCTACCCACATACCTATCTGTTCCTGTGTTTCAAACTCTTGTATTTCTGTACTACCCCTCCCCCTAATCAATGATCAATGGTATCAAATGGTATATTGGTTTTTTTTAGTTACTGGATGGGCCCCTCCCAGCTTTGTCCAAAATGTCCCCTTTTACTAAAATACAAACTGAAATGTTTAATTTACCTTAGAACTAAAGATTTAATCAAGCCTAGCTAGCAGGGTGGACATTGATTAAAATAAGTAATAATAAAATAGGACATAATTAATTAAAGTCTATTTGTTTCATTTGACTTTAGGGAGGCACTCTAAGCCACCTACTGGCCATCTTTGGGAGTTACATTGATAATACATTGTTTATAACAGATAGAAGTAGGATTGCTTACCCTATTTTAATATATTTATTGCTATAAGGTTTTATTTTATGTATAAATATATTAAAAGTTAAGTTTTCTTATTAGACCCATAAAGATTATTTTGATACAATTACCCTCTGGTGACACCTACTGGTAGGTTTTTGGTTTAACACTTTAAACAAAAACGTTTTTTCATCCACCAAATGCTGACTAATAAAATTATCTTACTACTCCTAGACTGGAACCTATTATTGGGCAGCCTTGCCGAAGTCCCATATTAGACACTGCTTGAGTCAAATAGGTTGTATACTCTCTTTAATCCAGAGGCCCCTGAAAACTTCCGAATGATAGACTCAGCATTTGTCAGCCAGGCCCAAGGTGATAGTAAAAGGAAATTAAAGAAAATTAGAGGGATTTGTAGGGATGTCCATAATACAGCTAATGGAGATTGCAAATACAGTATATATGAATAGGGAGACGGAGGAAGAACGTAAAATGAGGAAAAGGGCAGATATGCTAGCGGTAGCTATCTTAAGTGTAGAAAGACAGGGAAGTGAATAGAGGAGACGAGAATAGGCTGAGCAAGGGACCTTTAAGTAGGAATCAATGTGCGTATTGTAGAAAGGAGGGACATTGGAAGAGTGAGTGTCCACAGAG